CCCCATGCGTTCCTGTTAAGTTTCTCAGGATCCACATAAGAGTGAAACCATATGGTATCTGTCTTTCTCTGTATGGCTTATTTCACTTAGCATCACACTCTCCAGTTCCATCCACGTTGCTACAAAGGGCCATATTTCATTCTTTCTCATTGCCACATAGTACTCCATTGTGTATATAAACCACAATTTCTTTATCCATTCATCAGTTGATGGACATTTAGGCTCTTTCCATAATTTGGCTATTGTCAAGAGTGCTGCTATAAACATTGGGGTACAAGTGCCCCTATGCATCAGTACTCCTGTATCCCTTGGGTAAATTCCTAACATAAGACTCATTATTTCATACTCTTTTGTAATAATTTCATAATCATTTTATTATGTTCTTGGATTGTTTGGGCCAGGAATTAGGAAAGGGCACAGCAAGGATGGATAATTTGTCCTTGCTTCTCTATGTTTAGGGTCTCAGCTGGTGATAGCTCAGATAATTGGGGGCTACAATCATCTGGAGTCTTTGTCACTCAAATATCTGGTGCCTGAGCAGCAGCTGAGGACTGAGACAGGGAACTCATGAGGGGCTGGGTGCTCAGGTGGGTGGATCCATAGAGGGTGGGCCACCTGAGCACTTACTACTGGAATCATGGAGGGGCATAGCCATGATGGTGAGTTGACTATGAGGAGATGGTCTGAGAAGCCTCTGAGGGCTGCCCAGAGTGCCTGCATGTAGCCTAGGCTTCCTCACAGCATGGTAGCTTCAGGACACTTTATATGGCCGTTAATGGCTCCAAGAGCAAATGTTCATCAAACAAGGTGGAAGCTCAATGGCCTTTTGAAACCTACCCTCAGAAGTCACATAGCATCACATCTTCCAGCTGATTAAAGCAATCAAACCTTGTTGAATTGAAGGGTAGGAAACACTGATAATCCACCTCTTGATGAGAGGAGTAGCAAAAAATTTGTTTCAATGTTTTAAAACCACCACAAACTTAAAACATTTCCAGTTGAAATTTTGTTCTTCCAATTACATATTTAACATTACTCTTAATTAAATTGTCATTATAGAGAGGGAGGACAAGGACAGCAATCAGTTCTGAGATTGCTTTGATATTTGGGGGAAGGGGAAACCACTAAGTTTGGGATGCTACTAAACTGGATAGTTTGTGAGAGGAAAAGCTATTTCTCTCCCTAGTATTTCATCTTAGAGACAAATTAAGATTCCCTAAGAGCACTGCAATCTGAGCAGAAGAATGGAGAATGAAATAAGACTTCAGTGCCAAAACAAGTATAGTATATTAGGAAATTTCTTTTCTTTTTTTTTAAGATTTTTAAAAATGTTTATTTATTGTTGAGAGAGGGGTGGGGAGGGGCAGAGAGAGGGGTGGGGAGGGGCAGAGAGAGAGGGAGACAGAATCCGAAGCAGGCTTCGGGCTCTGAGCTGTCAGCACAGATGCGGGGCTCAAACTCATGAACGGTGAGATCATGACCTGAGTCAAAGTCAGACACTTAACCGACTGAGCCGCCCAGGCGCCCCCAGGGTAAATCATTTTAAAACAGAAGATTGACCTGTTAGTATTTAGATATCTGAATGACATTATGATCTCTTGTGCTTTGGTAATTTCAAACCTGATCACATTATTATGTCCAGAGTTCAGAACCCTGGTGTTGTCCTGCACAGCATGCACATTATATTGAGAAAATACTGCTTCTGAAATTTGTAAACTCAGACAGAAGCCTTTGTAAACTTTGGTAAATTTATTTCTGTACTTAAACTAGAATTTCCCTCTTATTTGGCAATATTTTTCCTTTTTTTTTTTCCTTACATAGAATTCAGTCTTAAGCAGATTTAAGAGTATAATACATTTTAAGAAGTTTTCAATGTTTTCATGAAGCGTAAATATGTCTCATGTTTAGACTTTGATTGCTATCTTCGTATCTTGGTTTCTTATAATTGAAATCCTATTAGTTCTTTGAGATCAGTTTTTTTCTTTGGATTGTGCTCGTTAACTTTGAAATTTCACAAACATTATGAGACTGTCTATAAATTAAAATTTGCAAAATGGCTAAGTAGGCTAGTAATAATCATTAAGTAATGACTAAGTAAGTGATAATATAATTAATACTTATATGCTGCATGCTATGAATCAGGCATTATTATTCTAAGAGCTTTACATTTAATCCTTGCTAATAAGTTTATGAGCAGAGACTATTATCACCATTTAATAGGTGGGAAATTTGAGGCTTAAAGAGGTTTAGAGACTTTGGGACGCCTGGGTGGCTCAGTCGGTTAAGCATGTGACTTTGGCTCAGATCATGATCTCACAGTCTGTGAGTTTAAGCCCCTTGTCGAGCTCTGTGCTGACAGCTCAGAGCCTGAAGCCTGCTTCAGATTCTGTGTCTCTGCTCTCTCTCTGCCCCTTCCCTGCTCATGCTCTATCTCTCTCTCTCAAAAATAAATAAAC